GAACAATGAAAGCTTTTCTCTATGCAGCAGTGGGAGAGTTGCTAGAAAAACTGGAAAGGTATTAATCAGAAGTGGCTATAAATCCTCTGGAGTTTTGCTCTTATAAAACTCCTCAGAGAAAGTCCTGAAGGAAATGCAGGTCAAAGCCCAAAAAAGCTCTTGATCAGAGATTGCTGGAGGAAAAGCTTCCCAGACGCCGTTTAATAGGCAGCAATCACCCCAGGAGTGGGGAAGCCAAGTACGCTTGAAACATGGTTGCAATTCCTAATAGGTCTTGTCACACTTAAGGCACTGCAAGCTCCATCCAACGAACAGCTGAAGCTAGCTGGCGATTCATAAAGCCAACAGTTTAAAGTTTATTATGATGAAAGCACTTAATGACAGCCATCGCTAGGGGCCCATCATTTATAAAGCTGTGCTGAGTATTAGACATGTAGCATGACCACCAATTTTATGTCACAATTGCTACCATAAAATGACCTTTGGTGATTTTTGCTGCATGTGGTGGACAGCTCTTCCTTCACATTAGTGCTCTGTGGCTTTCTTTGCAGACTATTATGCTGTCTAAAGCTTATTTGGCACTGTCGTGAGCCTCAACCCTTGTTATTACCCCGAAGGCCTGTCTTAAAAAAAAATAAATCTCATGCTCTATTACGCCACTCCAATAATTTACAGTTCTTACCAGCCTTGGTTAGTGTAATATTTTAATGCAAATATGCTTTACCATTACATTTTATGTAAAAAGAAAAAGTTCCCATGCTTCTGGCTAGTGTAATATCCATTTGAGGAGTTCACTGAAATCAGCCTCTCATTCTGTGGCCTGGTCTCATTGAATGGGCACTCTTTTCCCTGGTCGGTCGGTTAAAACACCTCCAGAAAAAAAAGGGGGGGTAGGGGGGCTAATTAAACTTCCCTAGAGAATGAAAGATTTTTTTAAAAAGATCCTATGTGTGATAAACCCACCTAAGGCAGAAACACCGATTCCTATTTCCCTACCTCCAGTCCCCATGCAAATTTACATTATTTAATTAGGATTCCATTTTCCAACCTGCTTTGTGTAGTTAGAAAGTGTTTGAATACACGGCCACTTTACTGCTCCGATGCAAACCGCTGCTGAGAAAGTGGTCTGTCCATGCTACACCACCTTTAAATTGTGTATATAATTTTATAAATGATATAAAATCTGCTTCTAGTCCCTGAAAAAAAAGAAAAAGAAAGAAAGAAAGAAACACAAGCATGGCACACTGCAATTTTGGAAGGATTTAAAATATGTGATTTCTGCTGGTACCTACTGTATTGGGTTTTATATAAAGCTTTTTTCAATAAGGTAAATTGTTACATGACAAACTCATCTTCCACCATTATCATCCGCTGTTTGTGTTTAACAACAGGAGTCCCGCTCTAACAAAACTGTTGTAATGGCTGCACAAATTACTCAGCTGAAAGCTTTCACCAAACAAAACAGTATTAATCAGCAGTTCTTATGAAGGTGCTAATTAAAAACAATTTTCTTCCTCAGTTTGCAATACTAAAGCCATCTTCACTTGCACAGTTTCCAATATACAGCTACTGTATTTGCTCACACTTCAGGCCCTCTATTAACTATTGAATCTCCTATTAGCCATTTTATTACGTTTCTGTTCACAAGCTTGTTGACATTTTAAAAGTCACAGTATGATCTGTTTTATCTATTAAAAAATGTATTAATTGAAAAGTCAGGGGGACAAAAAAGACAAAATGTAGACTCCAAATGCACAAGCTTCCAGGGCAGACAATGCGGTGAGCATGTAGCCGCAGCCTGGGCAGTGAGCTCTCTGGCTAAAATGAAATCTGAGAATTAAAATGGCATTTTAGGCTTAATAAACACCATCAGGCTCCTTCCTAATCTGGAAGTAGTCCTCTCAGGAAAAGATATTTGCCCTCTGTCGAAATTCAGTTTTGAAGGAGACCTAGTCTTACTTTCAAATCAATCTTTCCTCTATGTGATGCAATCAGCAGAAGACAGACACTTCCTACAGTCTGAACTCAGAGTTTAATCTGGGGTGGAGCCTGGGACCTGGAGCCCAGATCTATGGTCTAAACAGTTTCGTCTTCCCCGTCAGTGTGTGTGTACTTATGTCTGCATATACTTGGATCTCCACGTGGCCAACCTGCTCGCCACCCTCCTCAGTCCTGATGGGCAATGCCACCAAATTGTTTGGCATAGATTGGAAACGAGCCAAATGTTGACTAAGTGCAAAGACAAACTCCAAGGAAGCTGGGTTGAGGGAAGAGAACAGTCTATTTCTATTTAAAAACAAACACATGAATAAAAAACCCAAAAGTTTAACCCTGAGGGGAAGGCATGCCCCATTTTGATAGTGGAAAGAAGAAAAAAAAAATCAAAAAACAAAACAAAACACCACCACAACCACCTCCTGCCTGTGGTATTAAAACCAGGTTCAAAAGCAGTTAACTAGTTTAGGACAGACACCTGGCTGCTGCCATAGGGCTCCGGAGGGCCACTAATCCTTCCATTCACTCGGTTAACTGCTGGCTCCCCCAGACTGATTCAACAGGTATGCAGTGGTAAATTCAGCCCCTACTGAAGCCAAAGGGAAAATCAGCAAGGGGCGGGCAGCTCTTCTCTGAAACACCCGAGGAACCAGCCAGAAAAGCTTTTATGCCCCAGACAAGTTTTCTGCTGAATACTGAGCACCTAAATTACCCTTCCCTAATGGAACTTACATTTTCATGCTCAGTCAAAAAGCCAACAAAATACACAATTTATACAAAATAGCATCAACCTCTTAGGTAGTCTTTTCTAGCACTTTTATCCCAATTCACAGCGTATGTCCTGCTATAAAATAAAATAAAATATATTTCTTATAACCAACTTATATGTGGCTGTTCATATCACCGCATTAGAACTGACCATGGGCGGTATTAGAAACATTCTCACATCCAACCAGATCTACTTAGCATGACAAAGGGAAAGGAGGAGTTTTAGTAGAAGATACAGGTACAGGGGGAAGGGGAGTATCATGATAATTCTTAAGATTTCCTAAGTAGACAGGCTTCCTTTTGAAACAAACACATGCATAATTACATAGTAGACAATTATGGAATGGGGCACTTCAATGCATAGTACACAACCCAATACCAATGCATAGAAATAATTCTTAATTATGAAGCTCAAAAGAAATGTACATGGATCGAGTTTCCAAAGCAGCTATATTTTCCCCTTCTCAATATCGGGATTTCATTAAAATGTAAGAAACTAAAAAACAAACAAAAAAACACTGTTAAATTATTCAATAAGATACAGCATTTGTTACCCCAAAACTTCCAGAGAACCTGGCTAGGGACGTTTCTGGATGAGGATCTCATAAAGAGGAGACCCATGCAATCCTCAACATTTTTCAGGAGATTCTCTAGGCTTTAATCACACAATAAGCACACTTGTTTACTAGGTATCTCTTGGTAGGAACAGCTCACTTCTTACACTGTCTCAAGCTTAGGTCACTGCACACCCTATTCTTAAATACGAAAAAGATAAAAATACAAATAAATTACGGGTTTACTTTTTAAAATACAATTTCTCTTAGAGAAATAAACACTGGATTTCTACACCCACAACACACGAATGCAAATTGAATTCTTGCCAATTCATGTATTTTCATGAGGAAAAATGGAAATAGTCTCATGATTCTGCTGTCCTGTATTTGAAAAGAAAAACAGAAAGAATAGACCATCTTAGGTGCTACTGCTGGGATGGGTTTTCTTTGTCTGGCAGATTTGGTTGCAGGTTTTACAGAAGAAATAATTCCTGCTGTATTTCCGCCAGGACAGATGGAACTACCCGTGTTGCCTTTTAAAACATCCCCAATTCTAATTTTTAAACAAGAAAATATGAAGCCAGTGTGCTACCTATACAGTCGCCAAAGGAGAGCTGCCACTAGCTGAACTACTCAGCTAAATGGCTGGTTTGCATTGCCCTGGTCTTTATCTAGCACTGAGAATAGACTGCTGTTTTATCCAAAGAGGAATAAATTGCTGTTATTGTGATGTTAGCCCATCACTTGGCATTGCAATTCAAGTTTTTGTGAGAAAGAAATGTACGATCTAACTGCGACTTGACCTATGCCTTCCGAGATCCATCTAGGTGCTCTAATGGAGCAGAAAAAGTGGTGAATACAAGGACATGCAAACTGATGGTGAAAAATTTGTTTGATGATAAAAGGGAGCAGAGAAGACATTTGAGAGTCGCTGTTTTTATGACAGCTAAGTTTGTTTAACATGCAAAAGGGTTCCCCCCTCCCACAGTGTCCCTTTAATTGCACCACACTAACTACATGCTTATAAACATAGGAGGATGTAACCTGCTAATGACATGACTACTAAAGTGGGAGCAGATGATTCCTTACAGATAAACATCTGAATTTCCACAAAAGGCATTACAGCATCTCATGGATGCACTAGGCAGGAATATGCCTGGGTTCCCTGCAGAAAAGGCATTCTCCCTTAATCCCAGGTAGCACCTATTAAATGTTTACTATACACTCGAATCACCGCATATAACAATATATACTTACTTTAAATAAGATAATTGTGTGATTGAGTTTTTAAAACTCCCCCTGGTTGCAGTTTAGTTTATCAACCATTTATTCAAAATTTCTCTGGAAAGGACCTATTTTGAAAGAAGCCTGGAGAACAGCAGCCGTTAGATGTGAGCCCTGATAAAGGCTCACTTTTCATTCATAGTCAGAGCCTAAATGTGCTCTTCTTGTACCTAAACAGATAATAAGCACTCAGCACACTCCTCCTCCTTGACACAACACATTGAGACTAATCACACATAATTGGAGAGGAGGAGCAGAGGGCTGGCCACGCTATTGTGTCCAGAGGACAAACGGTCAGTTTATAAGGCTTTGGGCTGATGGAGTCATTTCTTATACGTCTATAGGGGAAAAAACCGCCCTGTTTAAAAGGGGGAAAAGAATGAGCCAGGGAGATAGAAAAAGAGATGGCAGCTTTAACACCAATTAATTTGAGGGAGATAAGAAAGATATGCTTTATTTTTATTAACCAGGATAGAATCGTCATGTTTGCGGTTTTATACATTAAAAACTACCGCCACCCAAATGGAACAAAGACCAAGGTATTTTTTTTTTCAAAAATGGGGGTGGCAATCACCAAAGGAAATTCTGTCTCAATTAGAGGCAAAAATATTTAGGGTGCTTACAAGTCCAATTCAAATAGCAGATAGGCTGTTTATAGATATTTAAAGACAAACAAAGGTTTAGTGCAGGAAGAGAGGAGGGGGATGGCTGGGGAATAATGTGGGTGAGGACAGGTGGGCTCCATAATCACACGTGGAATGTCGCCAAGGTGGCGGGGGGCCCACGACTTGGGGGCTGGACAGGAAGCCAATGGCTTGCTGCATATTACACACATTACAGATTTCTGGTTTGGGAAAACATTCCCTGTGTACTTGATGTTTTCTTCATCTTTTGAGCAGCTTAGTCTTCTATCCACTCTTGGTTAAAATAAGCAGAAGTGGGTAATGAAGGTTTTCTTCATACATATCCTGGTTTTCCTTTTTCAACTGAAAACAGTAATAGAAAAAAAGAAAGGTAAGGAGACTCAGATTAGGAATTTTTACCAGTCGATTTAAATGTTGAGTATAACGAAGACTTCTTACCTAAATATATTGTTCTGGAGAAAAAAAAGCAACTCAGTGGCACTGACATATCAACGTGACGCATCAAGATGAGAATCTTTTTGTTTTGTTTTGGTAGGGTGTTTTTTCATAAACAGTCACCCTGCATTTGTGACCCCCAGGAACTGTGAGGCACTTCAGTGAAGGCAGACCTGGCCAGCCATTTGGCATAGAAGCTTCCGGGAATCCAGCAAGGCAGGCCTCTCAGATCCCCATTTGGAGACCGTGGCAACACCTGGGCACCAGGGAAAGGCTTGTGGGGCCCAGGACATTTCAAAGACTCTCCAGGTCCTTCCTAGGGGTTTTAATATTAATGATAAGTAACTCAACAATTCTTTTCTCCGAGGGAAAAGCGTATTCCAACAATCAGAGCAGCAGGCTTCGATGCCGCTCAGGTGAACTCCCGAGGGCCTTCCCAGGGCAGGCAGATGTGCAAATCCCATCAGCAATCTCCAATCTGAAGTACACTTCTCCTCATTGGCTAGAGTAATTCTGATAGTCATATTTATATGTATTCTAGCAAATAATAAATTGCTATTTATAAAGACAAAATCAATATTTTTGAGCCAAATTTTAATTCATTTTTTAATTTGTAAGAATCAGAAATAAATACCTTTTTTCACTATACATGGAACCAATTCCTTTATTATTTCAAATCAGACAAACCTCCCCCTCCCCCTTGAAGCTAAATGAATGGCTCCAACATGACTCTTTCCGGGATTAGTAAGTCTGGGGCATAGCTTGAATCTTTTCAAAGCGCATGTTCCTTCCATATCATATTCCCACACTGTGGCCCGCCCGCCCGCACTGCTCAGGACAGGAGCAAGGAGCCTGCTCTTCCTTTTCTACGGGGGAAAGTAAAGGCACCTAGTCTTTACTTCCAAATCCATTGCCCTAGGATCTGATGGTGGTCCAATCACTCACGTGACTTCATTCTGTTTTCTTACACGGAGTTTGTTCTATTTACAGATGAGTAATTATCTATTTAGAAAGAGCCTCATGGATTTCGGTTGCCACCAAAATAATGACAGTGTTATTTCTAAACACACATCCCTCAATATCACTAATTAAAAACAACAACAAACACACAAAGAAATGGCTTCCCAAACTTCCCAAACCACACCCACTAATAGGGGCCTATCAACTGTAAATACCTTTGATGTCAGTTGCCGTAGTGATAGAAGGAGCACACTGAAATACTTCACAGAGGGAAGAGGGGCCAAGCTAGCTAAATTCTTCCTCAGGGACTGGGGATAAGGGAAAGGTGATTACTCAGCGTGAGTCAGCTGACCTACTCACTCACAATGCACTAATATACAGACTCAAATGAGCTCTTTATAAAGTCCCTGAGGTAATATGTGGGGTAAATAATTCTTCTGTAAATATGGGTTAGAAATCACTTTTAGCTTGGATTCTGTGCTGACCTCTGGAGGCTGAAGCCGAGGCTTCCTTGCTGGGAGGGACCGGGGCCCACCCCGTGTTGAAGGTGAGCCCTTCCCGAGATAGGGAAGAGCGGACAACCCTACACCCCAACCCAGATCATTTCCGAAACCAGAACACACACAAAGCTGTTAGGCAATGTTTGCTTCGCTGGGGGAATGTTCTGTGGTTTAAGAATAATTCCATTTTCCCAGGCTGTCCTTCTTTGCCCAATGAATAATTATAATGTTAAGAAATACAAAAGCACCTTGAAAAAAAAATGAACAGAAGGGAAATTATGAATAAAACAATTTTTCAATTTCATAGGTTAAAACAGGGTCTTTGCAGACTGAACCAAGTTATATAGCTGCTATTAGTCACATTATGCTTTACTTCCTAATTGGATGCCACACGCTCAGCCTCGCCGGGGCGCGAACAGCAGCAGCGGGAGAGGAGTTCAGACTGTTTACCCTTTACAGTACCCACCATTATCAACAGCCCACCACACAGATGACAAGCACCAGCCACTTGTGATGTGGCATTTTGAATAGAAAAGCAGAAGTGCAATATGGCCGTGCTTTTCACACAATGTACTGACTTCACAGCCCAGCCGAGCCTCTCTTCATGGCTAAGTACAGAAATACAGAAAATAAACACACGGGTGGTTTTGTGAAAGTTGAGAGAGGGGGGGAAAAATACCTGTGGCGTGTAAAATTATATTTCAAAGAAAATTTGCATGAATGAGTGCAGTTTTATCAACTAATTTCAAGCCAGGGGCGATCTCAGAGCCAGGTCTCTACCTTGCTAAACCATTTGCTATCTTCACATCCTTCAAGGCTCCCAGCCACACCAGCGGGCAGTGCATTTCCTTCCCAGCCCCGGGGAGACCCAGAGGTTGGGTAGGGGGAGGGAGGTGTTTTATTTTTCTTTCCGTTTCCTGGACGAACAGAAAGGCAGTATTTTAAACACACACACACACACACACACACACACACACACACACACACACCCCACACCTTTAGCTGCCTGGTCCCCGGGCATGCTGGCTGCATGGTGTGGGCACCATTTAGCAAAAACACTGGCAGAAAAGTGCAGAATGGCACCGTTTTGATTACAGGCTTGCTTTTGAACGGAAATAAAATTTCACAGTTAACAATGAGAGGTGAAAAGTTTAAGAGGCAAAGCTGTTCCTCCTGATCACTGACTGGTAATCAGCTTCATGGGTGGTTGCCTAAATCTGTAGATTTTTTTTTTTGTACCTTGCACTACTGCCAAGATTGTAACTAATTTTTCCCCCTGTTGTAAGAGGAGGGGTGAAAACCTCGGCACAGAAGGCAGCTGTGTATGAGTGACGTGAGGCACTAATGCAGAGGGCAGAATTAAAATTCATGAATCTCTTCACAACCATTTGTGTAACAAGATTAAGACGGGACAGCGGAAAAGAGCGGCATTATCAGGCGTCTTACAGTCCTCCAGCTGGTTACGCTCTATTCCAGCACAGTAGGGCTAAGAGGATAACACGCGGCCCCGAGGAAAACGCCGCTCCTGCATTTGGGAGCGAGCTCGTCCCTGGGACCGTGGGGGTTTGGCCGGAGATGGAGAGGAAGAAAGCTGATTGCCGCTCAAGATGGAAAACTTTTAAGCCCCGGCTATTAGCACGCGGCGAACAAAAGCGGCCAGGGTGGAGGTTCCCGGCGGCCGCCGGCCCCTGCGCGTCCCCGAGCCCCGGGCAGGCGGGCGGCAGGCGGGCAGGGACCCTAGGGCACAGGGGTGCTGGCTTTGGAGCCGCCCCCTCGCCTGGGTGACGGGCACCCGGGCTCGGCGAGGGGCCGGGACGCTCCCCAATTCCCACCCCCACCCCGCCCCCCGCCTGATTGGCCTCTGGGAGAGATCCCGTCCCCTTGCCCAGGAGACCTCCACGTGCGATCTGGGGTTGGGTCAGCACAGGGTAGGCGCGGCTGGGGCGGGAGAGCCCAGCATCCTAGCTCTGGTACCGAGGAAGGAGGCAGGCTCTTGCTAGCAGCTCACCCCCAATCCAGCGCAATTGAGCTCATCATCAACAATCGCGCACGTCTGTAGCATTTACCTAGGACGCCCCAACTCCTCAGAGTATCCCCTTAGGATGCTACTTCCTGAGAACAAGACGCTACGTTCACTGCTCACCACAACCAAAAGAGGGGAGGAGGACTGTTTATTAGCCCTGTGTCCCCAAGTTGGGGAATTTAACTTTTAAGCAATTATGGAGAGATAAAAATGAGGCCACTTATGAAATTTTATTTTTGTGGGACCAATCGGCCCATGATTATTTATGGAGTACTAACTGTGGGCATAGACATACATGTATCAATGTAAAGGTAAGAGGCATCCTTAGTGATTTAGGGAGCGATGCTTTGCAGGATAGTGTGCAAGGCTGGAAAAAGAGGACATTGCTGTCTACTAGCTGCTGACAATCTAAAGTTCTAGACAAAGGAAAGGTGGCCACCAAGGAATCAAATACCTCCCGTGTTCCAACACACTCCAGGTCTCACAGGGAGGTGAAGAGGGTAGAGGAGAGGGAAGGTAGCAGGCCTGGTGCCGACTTCTCTGCTGGTGGAGAAACCCAAGCCTTTGCTCTCCTGAGCTGTGGCTGAGGTTCTAAAAGCATTTGTTGTTCTGGGGGGAAAGTGAATGACAATGACACTGAGGCAGCCATCATCCAATCCCCCTATCTCTAGCCCTAAGTGGGAAAGAAGGCAGATTGTATTGCTTTGGGTAGAGGAGAGCTTCCCCGCGCCCCCCCCCCCCACCCCCACCACCAGGTAAAGCCTCCAGGGCCATTCTTTTTGTTTCAGGGAGGGGTTGAAAGAGGAAAACATGTTCTGGAGAGGCAGGTAAGATCTGAGGACCATGCCATTCTGCTTTCATTTTCTGATTGTAAGCAAAGGGCCCAATTCCAACAGTGAGGGGACATGGTTAACCCCTCCAGTTCACAAAGCATCATGTCTATTCCAGGGGCTGAATGGAGCCCTTAGAGACTCAAAGAGGTGAACCCATCCCCAGAAAGTGAGGATTTCCTTTCTTTTGCTGGGAAGATCAGGTCCACTTTGTATATAATTTTTCAAAAGTCAGTAACTTCTGCATTAAATCATAGTCCTGGGTAATAAAGAGTGCTATTGGTCTTTTTATAGGAGAAAATTAAGGTCAGGCCTTTATTTTCCTGCAGTCACAACTTGCAAAATTATGACAAGTCAAAGTCTCTTGCCAAGGTCAGACTAGTTCAGAGAAGGGAGATTTCTGTAAGGCACAAAATTACATAAGTAATACATGTTATGCTAGTAACAGTGACGTGTATTAGCAAAAGTGAGAGTCCTAAAGTTTTCAGAACACTTGCCTCTCAGTGTCCTATATTGCTGTATACCCATAAATAATAAAAAGGCTGATAACACTGCTTTATGTAAGCAAGCTTAGAAATCACTCTCAGATAAGTGCTTTTGACCTAAATCTTGTAGCGCCTCGCTCTGACATCTAACCCCACAACTGTGAAATTCTGTAGGAGATTTAACAGTCTCAAACTGCCAACTGACCCAGCCATAAAGCAAGCAGAGATAAAGATTTACAGTCCAACATGATACAATTAGACAGTCACCTTCTATTTATTTCAGTGCAGCTAAACATTTAACCTACTTAAAAGCCCGAAGCTTTTTCATTAAAATATAAATGCTTGTTTATCATTCGTTCTATGCCACCTCCAGGCATCCTATAAATTAGCCTATTATAAATGAAAAGATAACTTTGTTTCAGAGAAAGGAGTAAACAAGAATGGTTTCTGTAAAATCCTTCTAGACATGCAAAGATAAAAGATGGCTTTACCACACAAAATAATCAGATACACGGAGCTGTTCAGAAGCAGCACACCTAAGAAGTACTTTAATCAAATATTTAGGTTACCTGCCAAAAAGACCATGATCTCTTCAAAATGCAATGCGGATTAAAGTGTTATCTAACACAAGCAGAAAACTAACCTTGGAGTGGAAGTTTGAAATGTGTTCATCATAATTTTCATGTCTTTGGAGAGAGAAGCCAGCTTTTTCAGCTAGATTGCAAAACTGGTTTAAAGTAGTCCCTCGGCGTGGGGCAAATACCATTGCTTTCCCCTGGAACATTAAAAAAGAAATGTACACATTTTAAAACTGGCAGGCAACCAAACATCGCAGACATCGGTCAAAGCACTTAACATACTGATCTCAGGTAGAAAACTCAATTGTTCTGGAGACGTCCACACAGGATGGGCATTCACAGTGACAACAATTCCACGGACAGCTATGCATCAAATAAGAAAAATATATATTTCGTAGTCAAATGGCCAGTGGCTTTTCAAATAACGCACGTAATAAACAAAATGTGACTCCAAGTCGGTGTTCTGTACCACATGCACCTCTGTTGGGTCTAGCGGTTGAAACAAAAGCACTAGATTCTCAAGTAAGTGGTCCAGGGCAGTGCCACCCACCTTGCGACTCGCTGGCAGCTGCCAACACACCCGCAACACAGCTCCAGGGCATGTGGCAACAGACGCCTGTAAATGTGAGTTTATTGTGCCCTGAAATCTCAGTACCAAGAAAGCCTCCGCAGAGACAAGGAACCACAATCCCCAGTGGGGAATTTTCACGTTTCAGTCCTGCCACCGGCCTTTTCTGGGACCACGCTGTCAGCTACAAGGATCTTGGTTTCCAACTTCATTGAATCCTTCAAAATGGCCTTCATTTCAGCAAAGCAGCTCCTCACAGTACTCAAATGATTGCTTTTCAAAGAAATGGTATAAAGAGGACAAACAGGCTTTTCTAAATAAAATGCACAACCTGATGAGACTGTTGCAGTGGGGAGCCCGGGAGGACCTGTATACAACATACACCGGATTTCAGAAACCCACCAGACGTGAACCTCCACGTGGGTCATGTGCTCGCTACTGGGTGCATGTGGATTTTTCCTCCCCCTCTCAGATGTGCACAGAATGGCTAAGCTTCAGGATTTTCTCTTCTTTTTATTTGGTTAAAAGATGGCTGCATGCTTCTGTTAATTTCATGGTTACACTTCACCTTGATGAAATGCCACTTCAGGTTTTGAGAGAATCATAAACATATCCTACTTTCTTATGAAAGGTGGTTTACCATTCCCACCTGCCAACTATTTACTGAGCACGCAGTAGGTGTCAGACACTGGGAGAGGGGCTCTCTATTCATTGTCTCCCTTCAATCTTCAAACCACCAAAACGTAAGGATTATCAGCTCCATTTTACAGGATGCTCAGAAAGGTTGACTAAATTGGCCAGGATGACACAACTGGTAAGTGAATGGAAACGTATCTGACTCCAATGCCACTTCTCTCTCCCGGACACTGCATTGCCTCCTCATTAGCACCAGTGACGGCAATAATAAAAATAGCTACCACTGTGCTGGGTGCTTCAACCTCCCCTTCAACCCCCTCAACAACCGTGTAGGGAAGACATTACGTTTCACAGACGATTCAACATGCAATGAAGGGGGTGAAGAACACAAGGAAGAACTGTGTGGCAGAGAGGGTTTTTGGAAGTAAAGGGGGTCTCCACCATTAAAGAGCTGTGTCACCTCAGGAAAATCAGAAAACTAATCTCAGAGCTGTTGAGCCTGAGGACCTTGGAGATGTTAGTCTAATCTCATCCAAGTCATCCTAGCCGACCCACCGAGTTTTCTCATCCAGCAAATGGGAAGAACAAAGGCTTCCCCCCACCCCCAGCAAGTGGTGAGAATCAGATGAGGTGATGAATATGGAAACAGTTTGAAAAACAAGGTTAAACAGATGTAAGACGAGAAACATCTACAGCACCTAATAGTGCTATAAAAATTCCGTCAATTCTCTCTCCTTGTCATTCTCTTTCCCTCATTTACCTGCAAGAAATACCCCCATACACTGTCCCGGACAGCAAGTATGTTTTCATACTGTGTTTACATAGGCATGTACACACTCAGGCACATAATTATAGCAGCACCAATCATGCCAATACACTTAAGGTTCTGTCAGCTTTTCTCATATTAATTGCTATTTTCAGGTGGTTTTCAAACTTAGCAGTAAAAATGCATTTGGATGTGAAAGTAGATATAATACATGGTCTCAGCAGGAGAGCAAAAGTCTCTATTTGAAAAAAAAAAAGTGAATACTAGTAGGTCATTTTAGTCATTTCTAAGAGCTGGTTGCCATTCTGGATTTTTGAATAATGGAAGTTTTTTTTTATTTTAAATTCACTTGCAAAAATTGTCTTACATTACAATGGAAGAGTTGATTTTTTAACAGCTATTACCTAAGCCAGCGATTTTCAGTCTTTTTCATCTCATGGCACACAAAAACTAATTACTAAAATTCTGTGGCACACCAAAAAATATATTTAATTTTTTGCCGATCTGACAAAAAATAGGTCTAATTTTGATTGATTTACAAAAATAAAAAATAATAGTAATTATTTACCCTTTTTGCTCAATTTTTTTAAAAAAAAAATCAGGTGCCTATACTTGTATAAAGGATTTCTGGTACTAAGAATTAACCAATCAGACAAAACCTTATTTTGTGTTGTGACCAATAAGATGCAACTCTATTGCCCTAACCGGTTTGGCTCAGTGGATAGAGCGTCGGCCTGCGGACGCAAGGGTCCCAGGTTCAATTCCAGTCAAGGGCATATACCTTGGTTGCGGGCACATCCCCAGTAGGGAGTGTGCAGGAGGCAGCTGATCAATGTTTCTCTCTCATCGATGTTTCTAACTCTCTATCCCTCTCCCTTCCTCTCTGTAAAAAATCAATAAAAAAAAATATATATATATAAAGATGCACTCTATTATATAACCTATATATTTATGGTACAAAACAGGGCATTCACACCAGAAGGCTATTGTTGTGTTGGCTGTTGTCATTTTTAACATTTGACAATCTAAGGCAGGGGTCCTCAAACTTTTTAAACAGGGGGCCAGTTCACTGTCCCTCAGACCATTGGAGGGCCGGACTATAGTTTAAAAAAAACTATGAACAAATTCCTATGCACACTGCACATATCTTATTTTGAAGTAAAAAAACAAAACGGGAACAAATACAATATTTGTATTTGCATGTGGTCCGCGGGCCGTAGTTTGAGGACCCCTGATCTAAGGGAAAAGAGTCCAGTGCCCCTCACTAAATAGTC